TATTTTTCTCATATAACATTAGTTGAAGCTATTGTCAATACAATCTCAGGTGTTGCTAAACTCATTGAAGGTTCTGAAATAGCCTGCGTGATTCTTCCAAAATGGACAAAATTAATACTCCCTCCGTCCCTTAAAATTCTTCCAACTTTCCTTTTTGTAACGTCCCAAAAAATTCTTCCAACTTCCCCTTTTTGGATAATTTGTGTGGCTCACATTCATTTCACATTTTTCTTACTCAACTACAACCATACATTTCCACTTTATTCAACTTTCTAAATATGTGAGCCAACTCAAAGTTGGAAGAATTTATTGGGACGGGAGGAGTAATTAAAGACGCTTTATACTCCAGTAAATCACGAAGAAATCTTTTGAGTTTTAAAGATATGTGTCTAAATGGTTTTCATATTCAAACCATTTTTGAAAATCAGAAGGAATATTTATGTCTAACGACAAATAGATCTGGCAATAAATATATTTATGAAAAAATACCAGCATATTCCTCTGGACTGTTTTATACATATATCAGTCCAGTTGAGATAGATGTGGTATCTAAAATTAATAACCACAATTGTTTCATCTTGTGGCATGATCGTTTAGGTCATCCAGACAGCACTATGATGCACAAAATTATTCAAAATTCACTCTGACATTCATTAACTAATGTCAAGATTCCACAATCAAGTGATTTTCTGTGCACCGTCTATTCTCTTGGCAAATTAATAATCAAGTCATCTTTATACAAAATTGGAGTTGAATCTCCTGCATTTTTAGAAAGAATTCAATGAGATATTTGTGGGCCAATTGCCCCTCTGTGTGGACCCTTTCGATATTTTATGGTGTTCATTGATGCATCAACGCGTTGGTCACATGTTAGTCTTTTATCGACTAGAAATTCTACATTTGCAAATCTCCTTGCTCAAATCATTCGTTTGAGATCACAATTTCCGGGTTATTCAATAAAGAAAATCTGACTTGATAATGCAGGAGGATTTACATCCCAATCTTTTAATGATTATTGCATGTCAGTTGGGATTAATGTGGAACACCCAGTTCCGCATGTACATACCCAAAATGGTCTTACCGAATCCTAAATTAAGCGATTACAATTATTTGCTAGGCCATTATTGATGAAATCCAGATTAACATCATCTGCATGGGGATATGCTATAATGCATGCTGCAAATTTAATTCGGTTTAGGCCAACAGCATATCATAAACTTTCCCCATTGCAATTAATATTTGGTAAAGAACCAAATATATCACACATAAAAAATATTTGATTGTGTTGTGTATGTACCAATTGCTCCATCTTATCGTACTAAAATAGGTCCTCAAAGAAGGCTGAGAATTAGTGTTGATTTTAAATCTCCCTCAATTATTAATTATCTAGAACCTATGACCGGTGACTTATTCACTGCACGGTTCGATGACTGTCATTTTAATGAGACAATATTCCCAGCCTTAGGAGAGATATTAAAGAAATGGACTCAAGTATGAAAGATATTACTTGGAATGCAACAAATTTGTCTTTTCTTGATTCTCGCACAAATGCTTGTGAACAAGAAATTCAAAAGATTATTCATTTACAAAATGTTGCAAACCAAATAACCAATTGCCTGATGCTTTCACAGACTCAAAAAAAAGTGACAAAGACACATATTCCAGCTTTGAATGCTCCTTCTCGAATAGAAATTCCTGCGGTGATTAGCGAAAGAACTCTTGCTAATGAATCTATGATACGTAAAAAAACGTGGTAGTCCACTTGGTTCAAGAGATTTGAAACCAAGAAAATTTAAACAACAAGTTGTAGTTTGTGATGACAAAGAAGTTCAACCTTCTCAAGAAGAAAATGAACATTTTGAAAATATCGACTTTGAAGATAACATCAATAATAATCATACCTCAAAAGAGGATCCAATCACCTTTGAAGAGGTAAATATTCCAGATAAATATAGAAACGTCAATAGTTTTGAAATTTCAATTAATTACATTTCTAATGGATATTGATGGTAATGATATATTTTCATATGTCATTGTCACATATATAATGAATGAACATGATGACAGTGAGCCTAAATCTATTGACGAATGTCGTCGTAGAAATGATTGACCAAATGGAGTGAAGCAATTCAGGTAGAATTAAAATCGCTAGAAAAGTGTAATGTTTTTGGAACAATTGTCCATATGCCAAAATGTGTAAAACCTGTCGGTTTTAAATGGGGTTTTGTGCGTAAACGCAACAAGAAAAATGAAATCGTTAGATACAAATCCCAACTTGTTGCCCAAGGTTTTTCTCAAATGTCAGGAATCGATTATGATGAGACGTATTCTCCAGTAGTTGATGCTACAACTTTAAGATTTTTAATTGGCATGTCTATATTTGAAAGGCTGCAAATGCGCCTAATGGATCTGGTGACCGCATATTTATACGGTTCACTCGACACAGACATATATATATATTTAGGATCATGTGAGAATTTGATCTTAGGAAAGAAAAAAGATTGATCTAGAGCCGTTGGATTGCAACATTATTTACATTAATTAATTAATTCATATGAGGGTACATACGTAATTCACTTTTCTTTCCTTCTAAATCTTAGTCCTTCCGTTCATGTGTATGCTAACCATTTTACGTTCCTGTTTTTTAGCATCTTTAATTTCTTTCTACTAATATTAATATGCCTTTTAATGCTTTGGTAGATTAGTGCGTCTTCCTTTTTCTTTTATGCTGATTTTCCTTTTCTTTTCTTTTATGTTAGTACTTTATTTCTATAATAATGTCCGTAAGATGCCAACATAATTTTTCCATCATCTGCGATTTTATTTATTTATTATTATTTATCTTTTTTTTTTGTTTTGAGAAATATATGCAACTTTCAATGTTTTAATGTGCACAATTGAGTTTCTGATAGTGTTATTTTTACACATTAGTATATATGTATATCCTTTTTTATGGATATAAATGTATATATATATTAATGAAAATAAACATATTAATCATTTTCTCACTTATCCATTCTAATTATGCATTATGTTCACGACTTTTGCGAATTTGACAATTATACGCTTTTAGGCTTCTAATTTTGCACTCTTGATTAATCGTACACTTTTTGAAGTACATATTGCACATATAAATGATTCACAGTGCTTTTAAAATCTGTCACATGCATATAGTGCATTTTTCATTAGAAGAAAAAGTACATATTTTAAAGTATGATAAAATTACAACTAGTGAATATATTGCACCTTTAACATGCACTTTTTAAAGTACATAATGCACTTCTGGTGTTAACATGATGTATTTGTGATTTGTGCTGCTCGGATTTCCTGAGATGCACTAGTTTGAGAGAGGTAATGCACTTTTCAAATTTCTCACTTTTGTATGTGAGAATGTGCACGTTTTAAAGTACAATAAAATTACAAGTGGTGAATATTACAATTAAATATGTGAATAATGCTTAATATTAGGAGCGGTAATGGTAATTGTGAGAAATAATAATGATAGATATAATATTTGCATATTTTAATGATTTGCAACGTAGAACTTGTTCATTTAGAATTTACAATATGAAAGTAGAAAAGTGCACATTCAGGTATTGAAATATGCATTCATCTATTCATATAATGCAGAGTTATATGGACATTTAAATGTTAATAATTCCATGGTGCAAATTTTGAGGGATCCTAACTCCTATCCATCGTGCAAGTGAGCTGAACATTCAATGATTGGTTTTTGGTTTTTACATGTTTGCCCTTTTCTTGGTAGGCAAACTGATTGTTATTAAAGAGCATTAATTACTTCCTTAATATAAGTTCAAATTTAGACTTCACTCTACATAAGTTTCATCCGTCAGATCACATACATCAATGCATATTATTTGTTCTCATTTCTCTCCTGGAACGATGTTCTCACCGGAACCGTACCCTATATATATATATATGAGAATTCCTGGAGGCTTTAAAATACCAGATGCAATGATCTTATTAGTCCATGTGTTTTTCATTCAGTGATCCGAATCCAGATTCGCCATAATTGCGGTATATGTTGATGATTTAAATATTATTGAAACTCCCAATGAAATTGAAAATACTACAAAATATCTCATGAAAGAATTTGAAATGAAAGACATTGGGAGAACAAAATTTTATGTTGTCATTCAAATTGAACTTTTGAGAAATGGTATTTTTATTCACCAATCAAATTATACCAAGAAACTTTGAAGCGGTTTTACATGGATAAAGCACACCCGCTCAATTCTTTAAAGATGTTTCGGTCTCTCAATGTGAACGATGATTTCTCCGACCTTGTGAATATGATGAATAAATCATTGGTCATGAAATAATATATTTGAATGCTATTGAAGCATTAATGTATTTGGCTAATATAATACTTGGCTAGATATTGCTAGCTCTTTCTGTAAATTTGCTAGCCATATATAGCGCATGTCAAAGGATGTTAATCAAAAGGGATAGAACAAAGCATATAGCACCAAAATCTTTCTCCACACAGGATCTTGAGAAAGATGGAACAATTGATGTCAAACAAATCAAGTCCTACGACAACCCTGCTGATTTATTCACAAAGTCATTAGCACCGAAGACATTCAAAGAACTGGTCCACAAAATTAGAATGTGTCATCTTCGAGATATATGTTAAATTGAGGGGGAGTAATATGATGCATTGCACTCTTTTTCCCTTTTGTCAGGATTTGGTTTTTCACACTGGGTTTTTCACACTGGGTTTTTCCTGACAAGGTTTTTAACGATACAATACATTATAATACTATGAAACTAATACCCATTAATAATTTTGGAAGATGACCATTCAGGGTGAGTGTTGAAATATAATGAATTAGTCATCTCTTAACTATTCATGATTAATAGGTCATTATTATCATTATCAAAATAATCCAGAAATCACAATTATGATTTATAGATAATGATTATGTGGCTAATATCATTCCCTCATCTTAAGGTAATCACATGTTTAGCCTATACATAGAGGCTCTTGCTTCATTGTAAAGACACTCTCATTACGCAATGGTTACACCATCAGAACATCTCTAATAACATCTTTCTCGCTAACTATTCAAATTATACTTTCTCTTCCTGATCTTCTGCTTATTTCCTTCCATTTTAGAACAATTTATTAATATACTCCGTATTTAATAAATCCGTTCTCCTCCAAACAATCCAATAAAGAACTCGGCCCATTTATCTTTGAGTGCGAAAGGAAGAAACCCTAGGTTGTTGTTTTCGTAATGTTCGTTTTTGCTTCCGCTGAAATGGGCCAGTAGAACGGCGAAGTATTATAGTCGTAACCTCCATCGGCATCTTCAGTTATCAGCCGAAGAAGAGCTTCCCATCCACACTGCGAGCTCCATTGCAATGGCCCCCAAGAACACTCCGCGCAACCATGAGCTAATCAGGGGAATTGGGAAGTTCTCCCGCTCCCAAATGTACCACAAAAGGGGTCTTTGGGCTATCAAGGCGAAGAACGGCGGCGTTTTCCCTCGCCACGACAAGAAGCCCGTCGAGCCTGTGGCTCCGGAGAATCCGCCAAAGTTCTACCCTGCTGACGATGTGAAGAAGCCCCTCGTCAACAAACACAAGCCAAAGCCTACAAAGCTCAGGTCAAGCATTACTCCGGGGACTATTCTGATCATCCTTGCCGGAAGATTCAAGGGAAAGAGAGTGGTCTTCCTGAAGCAGCTCTCCTCCGGTTTACTCCTTATTACCGGCCCGTTCAAGATCAACGGTGTTCCTTTGCGGCGCGTGAATCAGGCGTATGTGATTGGGACTTCGACCAAGGTAGACATATCTGGGGTCAATTTGGACAAGATTGATGATAAGTACTTCGGTAAGAAGGCCGAGAAGAAGAATAAGAAGACTGAAGGAGAGTTCTTTGAATCTGAAAAAGTGGTATGGAATTATTTCCTTTAAAATTCCTGGAGTATTGATTATGTTGATGTGCATTTTAGAGTATTTTAGTTAACCACAAGACATTTGAAGTTTTTTGGTTTTAGAGTATTTTAGTTTTTGTGTGCTAATGTCAATAGTTCAAATTTAATGCATACTTGAAGACATTTGTCAAAATGTCAATAGTTTAATCAATAAGACTAAAGTAGCCCCAACCACCTTTACCAGTATTTCATTTGCATGAACTATTGGCATTTTACATAATTTAAATTAATATTGAGTATGGAATCCATCGTTTTGGGTGGTATTTTAACAAAAACTTGTGCAGTGATCTTGGTAAAACAGTTCTCATAGTGAACAAAGGTGCATTTCAATGCATCAATGGATTGCTTGCTATTTTCCATTAGAAAAAATGTGTACTTGTATGATAACCTCTGCAGTTCAAATATTGATAATGGTTGTCTGAGTTTTTATGTAAGTCGAACCCCATAAATATGGGCTTTGTTGGTTAAGTTCATGCATGAAATGGATTTGCTTAAAAGATAAAAGTTTGCACTTTGCACTCATAGGTGATTGGCGTTTTGTAGTTTTGTTGATAATTTACATGTTTGCAGTATGGAGTGTTTATATTTATGGTTGTTGTGTATATGTGTGGAATAAATAGGAGAAGAAAGGGATACCACAAGAGAAGAAGGATGACCAGAAGGAGGTGGATGGTGCATTGATCAAAGCCATTGAGGCAGTGCCAGATTTCAAGACTTATTTGGGAGCAAGGTTCTCCCTCAAGGACGGCATGAAACCTCACCTGCTCGTCTTTTAAATGCAGTAGTGATTTATTTCTGTTTTTGTTCATTTCTGTTTCTGTGTTCTGTGATCTGATTTTGCCAGTGACACAAAACTGCTTAATTTAGAAAATTAAATCTGAGGTTTATAACTTTGCTGTCATGGTATCCCGCACCTTTGCCTGAGATTATGCATTGTTTGGTGTTTTATGGATAAAATTAAATTTATTCTGTGTTGGACTCACCTAACCCATTGACATAGGGGTCCTGCATCTCTAGAAGTCTGATCTGTGTTTTCCTGAATCCTGAACACCCTTTAGCAGTTTAGCCTTTACAGCACCATGTGGCTGTGCGTTCCTGACTAGTTGATCATTGTAAATTGAAGTCGAACACACAAATGGCATGGTGCTGGATACTTATGTAATTAAGCCTTTTTTGTAAAAGGTAAATGTGTATCAAGTGACAAAGATCAAGGGGTATACCTGTATATAGGGGGACCCAACCGGTTGGCCCGGAACCGGCCCGGCCCGCCACTGTGCGGGCCCGGACTGGCCCGGTTGGTGCTAACCGGGCTCGGGCTTTTACCCGGTTGGGGAGGGTTGGGCGGGCTTGGCTCGGGCCCTATATTTGTTGAACCGGCCTGGGCAGTTCGGGCTGGACCTGGGTTTTTTTTTTATTATTTTTTTGGTTTTTCAATTTTTTTTTTCTTGGTTAGGGCTGGGTATTTGGGGGGGGGGGGGGTGAAGGGGGGGTGGTAGGGATGGACTCGGGTCCGGGCCGGGTCGGGCCTAGGCCCAGGCGGGCCGGAGGTTCAGGTATGGTGGACCCGGGACCGGCCCGGGTAGCCATCGGGGCCGGGCCTCTGGTTTGTATTTTTTTCTCTTTCCTACCCCCCCCCCCCCCCTCCACCCCCACCCTCCCAAAGCCCCCAAACCCATCCTATCCATCAAGGCTCAAGCCCAACCCCGGGTGGAACCCCAAAAATGAAAAAAAAAATCAATTTGGCCCTGGCCCGACCCGGCTGGGCCGGTTCACCAAATTTGAGACCCGACCCCGGACCTGCCCTACCCCCGGGCCTAGGCCTGACCTGGACCCGAGAACCGGGCCGGTCCATGGGCCGGGTGGCCCGACCCGAGTCCAACCATAGGGGGCTGGGGTTAATTAGAAAGCAAAAAAAAAAATTACCTTGACCTGGCCCGGTTAAGCCCGGACCTGGTATCAACCTGGGCCGGTTCCGGGCCCAACAATTTGAAAGAAAAGCCTGCTGTGGTCTGGCCTAGGTCCGTCCCTACCTGTATTACCCCTTTCTGCTCAAGCAAAACATTGCTTTGCTCAGCCATAGTATACTACCATCCAAAAAACACAGCTTCCCAAGCACAAAATAATCCCAAGCCTAAAAGTCAATCATATCAGAGGGATCAATTCTAAACTAAGCACGGTAAATAAGTAATCTAATTTGCAAAACAAAAATTAGATTTCTAGCTTTCCAAATGACATAAATTGAGCAGCACAAAGCTAACCTGACACTATTGCTTTCCGGACAAGATCCTCTATGATGTCTAAGGCACATCTTCACTATGCTAAGCAGCGTGGATGACTCTCTTTTATACCTGAGCCAATGTTTTGTCTCCCTCCACACAGTAAAGGAACATTTCAAGAAGAGGTGATCAACAATTTCCAAATGTTTCTTTCAGAAACAGCAGAACCTATCCATTTCCACATATAGTAGGCTGTCACAGGTTGCAAGTCTGTTTCTAAGGCCCAACCATCGAATCAATGAGTACTTTGGTGGAATATACTTCTTCCAGATTAGATTCATTCAAGGTTTACTATGGCTTTTTACCCTTAAAATGTCGTTATTCTCATAGATCTATCTAGAGTGCAGACTGCCTTGACAACAAAGAAGATTCAGCTTCTGCATGATGATTCCATTTTGTCCTCCCAGCAATGTTAAGCTTGGTGAACAAAGGAGAACCACCAGAAGAGGGTGTCCACTCCCATATTTAAGCACTTCTTGTTAGGAGAGGGTGATCATAGAGGGGATTTCTATAAACCCATTTCATCAAGTAATGTGAGTCTTAGTATCGCTAATGAAGATATATGGTATATATATATTTGGAAATATAAGAATTATTAGTTTAAGGTGGCTGTTCGTGGGGGTGTGTTCTTTATGCTCGAGATAGAGAATCAGCTCTTCATGTGTTCGGGACTTCGGGTCATGTGTGGTGGCGAAAAAGGTTTGGGCAAAGAGTGTTGATAACTATCACTCCACAACTAAATGGGCAGAAGCTTTTATCATGGCGCACTGGGAGGAAAATTGTGGAAGAAGTCTCCTGCTGGTGTAAGGAGTATTATTGCAGAGACTGATGCATTCCTTGATGGGTGGAGAAGGGCTCAAATGACGGTTTCAGCAGCAGAAAGGATTGTTGCAGCTCCCAAACATTGGATTAAACCAAGTGAGGGTTGTACGCTACGGTGAAAGTAGTGGGGGATTGCAGCGGGCTGGGATTGGGTGATAAGGGGGTCTTTTATTGACGAGGAATAAAGAAAAGACTTGGAGTTTGCCAACCTCGTAAAGCTGAAGTCCTTGTGATAAGGGAGGTCATTAGTTGGATTAGGAACTACGGCTTTGATTTTATTGACGTGGAATCCAATGCTATCTAGGTTATTAAGACTATCATGATAGTTAGGATGAATCTTCCCTTGATGTCATTATTGATGATGTTAGAGATATTATGACTAGTTTCACTAGTATTTCTGTTTCTCATATATATGAAGTGGTCGGTGAATTTGTAACACCGCCCCCGAGTATTTGTACTGTACCAAATTATGTATTGAAACTTGAGAAATGTATAAAAGCATTTTTACGTGATTGTAAATTTTTATCATTTCTATTACGTGAATAGTAAAATTCACGTGGGGCCCACACCGGATGTGGGGCCGCCCAATATTATCGGGACCACATATTATATTAATCTTGGACTAGATAATATGTATATGGTGGTGGATATCCTAATTGGGCCATGACAATGGCACAAGGTTGACCGGTTGGTCAAACGGGCTAAATTATCGGTATCGGCAATTTATCAGATAACAGCCCAAAAAGGGATTCCGAGAACCTATAAATTAAAGTTGGGGATTTCATAATGATTCTAAGGCCCAATAAGGATTGGGAACGAGTGTTATATTTTATTTGACCCGATAAAATAAAATATACTTAAAACAGTCCGGAAAATACAACTTTCGTGACCGATTGTACACTCGGGTACACAAAGGGTTGACCTCCCACATGAGTGGGGGCCAACCCACGTCCTTGGTCTGGAAAATAGCAAGGGGAGCCGCATCATAGAGCTGAGAATTGGCTGGGGAAGTGATTGGGAGACCAATCAATATGAGGGTGGGACCTTTACCATATGATTTGGTGAGAAATGCCAAAATGGCATCCTCAATCACCCCTCACCCCATATGCTCGGTTCAATCATCCAAGGAAGGGAGAGAAACTCTGAAAATACTCCATTTCCTCATCCTTTCACGCACCAAGAACAAAGGAGGAAGAAGGAGGGGAAAAGAGAAGAGAAAAGGTTGTTTTGGAGAGGAAAACTTGTGTTTAGCAAGGTAAGGACTCCATTAACCCCATTTCGTTTTCTTTAATCATCTTATATGATTATTCAATCATATTTCACACCCTAGGATTGTTCTACACGTTGGGATGTGTAGAAAGAGGGGTTGGAAGGTGGTTCTAAGTCCAAGGACGGACTTAGAAGCCAAAGGACCGGTTCGCCGGAAAATAACCTTTTGAAGGTTATTTATATTACTATGGGTTTTATGATGATAAAACCTTGTTAGTAACTTGTCTAAGGTATTCAAGGAACTTTCACGGAGTTGAAAGAGTCGCCGGAGTTGTCTCCGGAGTTCGTTGAAGTTCGCCGGAGTTTCGCCGGAGCTAAATCGGGAAGGCTAGAACTTCATAAGCTTCATTAAGGTGAGAAGACGGCTTTATGCTTTATAACTTTTGCGTGAGGCATGAGATTACCTAAAGTAATCAGGAATATGTTTTGTGGAATGATTAAAGATAACCAAGTGTGTGCTTATGCCATGACTATACATAAAACATAATTGAAAAGCATGTTATGTAGGTTTGGTGATCAAAAGTGTGATAACTTCTTATGTGTGATGTTCCAGGGATCCAAAATTGTATTTTTGGATCAAGGACGTCAAGAAGTATGAGTGTATAAAATTTCACGTTAATCGGACTTCGTTTGGGCGGTCAAACGAGCGGTTACCGTCAAGAAAAAGGTGATACCCGACCGGGTATGGGTGAATACCCGACCGGGTTTTGATTAAAAATGGCTCCAGAAGCCACTGCCACACTAGACCCGACCGGGCATGGGTGTAGACCCCACCGGGTCTCAAGTAAAGTTGGCTCCAGGGGCTACTGCCTCACCCCACCCGACCGGGTAAGGTGGGATACCCGACCGGGTCTTGGGTTAAGCCCAGAATGGGCAGTTTTGAGTAGGTTAACGTGGGCCGTTCGGGTGGGACCCGCCCACGTTGGATCCTAAGGATTGTTATATGACTATAGGGCTAGGCATTGTCCATAGTTAAAGGAATGAAAGGTTAGCCATATCCAGGTTAGGATTTGGTGGAGAATAGACTGAGGATTGAGTGCCCTTGGACGGTAAATGATCCAGAATACTCCAGGTGGGGTCGAGTACCCTTGGACGGTAAATGATCCAGAATACTCCAGGTGGGGTCGAGTACCCTTGGACGGTAAATGATCCAGAATACTCCAGGTGGGGTCGAGTACCCTTGGACGGTAAATGATCCAGAATACTCCAGGTGGGGTCGAGTACCCTTGGACGGTAAATGATCCAGAATACTCCAGGTGGGGCCGAGTACCCTTGGACGGTAAATGATCTTAAATACTCCAGGATGGGTTGAGTGCCTTGGACGGTAAATGATCCTAAAACACTCGGTAGTATGAATCGAAGGTAGACTATAGCTTGTGAGCTAGGTAACCGGG